TTGCTGGATGTTCTACGTTGTAAAGTAGTGTGGTTGCTCAACACGAACTGAAGTGTATGAGTGTTCTCAGTCAGGTTTGTGACTTGGGGAGGAGAACGAAGCATTCTTTATAATGGTGTGGAAACCTCTCCCTAGCAGACGTATTTTAAAAACCTTGAGGGAAGCTTGAAAGGGAAAGGCCAAAGAGGACAATATCTGCTAGCGGTGGGCTTGGGCTTGGGCTTGGGCTGTTACAAATGGCATAAGAGCCAGACACCGGGCGATGTGCCAACGAGGAGGCTAAGCTCCAAAGAGGGGTGGACATAAGGCAGTGTGTCAGCAAGGATGCTGGCCCTCGAAAGGGAGAGGGGGGGGGGGGGGGGGGGGGGGGGGGGAGGGGGGTGGATTTTGAGATCCCACATCGGTTGGGGAGGAGAACGAAGCATTCTTTAGAGGGGTGTGGAAACTTCTCTCTAGCAGACGCGTTTTAAAAACCTTGAGGGAAAACTCGAAAAGAAAAACCCAAATTAGACAATATTTGCAAGCGGTAGACTTAGGCTGTTACACAAGATTTTTAGAACTCGAGGTGTATAGGTACAACCTATAGAACAAAACTTGTCAAGTAAGTTCATAGCTTGAGGAACAAAATAATAACAATAAGAGTCATTTGGATTCCTCGAGACAAAATGGGACTTTGAATTGGATGTAGTATGATGCCTACTTTAGAAAACTTGAAAAAAAAGTCAGTAGTAGGAAAGAACTGGAAAGACTCTTCTCAAAAGATAAGAATATAATATTTAAAAGCGAGCAGAAAAAGAGCGTGTCTGAGTGAACGAGGATGAGGACCTTAAGACGTTTATATGGATTGGTCATGAAGTCGAATTAGATGAAGTCTTGACAGTTCAGAAAATCGAGATTAGATTCTTGCTGCTGTGTCCGTTAAGGCTGTTCGCCATCTGTGAACAGCCTGCGACAGGGAAATGTTCTAACTATGGCCCCTTGGTCGTCAGCTGATTTGAAGTCACGAGGTTGATCCGTAGATGGCCTTTGATCAAGTATGTTCATCATAATAAATAATAGAGGTACCTCCGACTTTGACTCGGTCTCTGTAGTAGTCAAATAGTCCGTCTTCCGACCTCAAATGTCTAGAAGTTTAGTCCTAGTATTAATTTTGACTTGATCTTCCTTGTATTTATTTTGATAACTGATTATTCAAGTGGCTTTCTCTTTAGTCATTGTGATTTCCTTGTTTCTGTAAAGGCTAAAGGCTTTAGCTGTGAGATCCCACGTCGGTTGGAGAGGGAATGAAACATTCCTTATAAGGGTGTGGAAACCTCTCCCTAACAGACGCATTTTAAAATCGTGAGGCTGGCGCCAATACGTAACAGGCCAAAGCGGACATTATCTACTAGCTGTGGGTTTGGGCTGTTACAAATGGTATTAGAGACAGACACCCGGTGGTGTACCAGCGAGGACGCTGGGCCCCCAAGGGGGGTGGATTGTGAGATCCCACATCGGTTGGAGAGGAGAACGAAACATTCTTTAGAAGGGTGTGAAAACCTCTCCCTTGGAAAAAGAGGATGAATCGAAATATAGCTGCTACACCAAAACTAGGCAGGCACACGTTTTAAAAACCTCGAGCGGAAGTTTGAAAGGGAAAACCCAAAGAGGACAATATCTGCTAACGTGAGCTTGAGCCGTTACACAAATATATAAGGGCTCGGGAAGCTGATCATAAGACTACCTTTTGGGCGCACAAGTATCACTACGAGTCCCCGATCATGCTTCGGGATTAAAACTGCATTAGCTGCATTCCAGTTGTTAATTTTCAATGTAAACTCAGCTCTCTCTCTCTCAAATCTTATATGTCTTCTCATCTATCTTTTCTACATGTTATTTCCCTTCATTTTACTTTATTATACCTCTAACCTTCCACTGTAATTGTTGTATTCTAGGGGCACAAAATATTGTATACCTTCTGCTATGTTCAAGGCACCCTACTAAACCAAAGCTTATCAGATTCCGATACTCTTATAAAAAATGGTTCGAGGAAGGGACGCTTGCTGGGAACATTGTGTCCTTGTTGATGCGACGAGACAGAAGGTTCGATGCAATTATTGTCAGCGGGAATTCAGTGGAGGTGTATACAGGATGAAATTTCATTTAGCTCAAATTAAAAACAAAGATATAGTTCCATGTGCCGAAGTCCCGATCGACGTTCGAGACCGTATTCAAGGTATATTAAGCACTCCTAAAAAACAAAGGGCACCCAAGAAACCAAAGGTCGATATGGAAACTGCAACAAATGGACAGCAACATAGCTCCTCAGCTAGCGGAGGCATCCATCATGGATCGAGTGGACAGAACGAAAGCAACTGCCCATCGACGCTTCCGTGCTCTTCACCGAGCGCACAACCACTGATCGATGATGCTCAAAAGCAGAAGAAGGATGAAACTGATAAAAAAGTTGCTGTCTTTTTCTTCCATAACTCTATTCCTTTCAGTGCTGCCAAGTCCTTGTATTATCAGGAAATGGTGAATGCTATAGCAGAATATGGAGTAGGATACCGAGCACCGAGTTACGACAAACTAAAATCGACTCTTTTGGATAAGGTGAAAGGTGATATACAGAATTCTTACAAAAAGTATCGAGACGAATGGAAAGAAACAGGCTGTACGATCCTATGTAATAGCTGGTCCGATGGACGGACCAAATCGTTTCTAATCATTTCCATTACGTGTTCAAAAGGAACACTGTTTCTGAAGTCGGTCAATATATCAGGTCGTGAAGATGATGCAACTTACCTGTCCGACTTGCTCGAGACGATAGTCCTCGAGGTTGGTGTGGAGAATGTTGTCCAAGTTATTACAGATGCTACAGCCAGCTATGTCTATGCTGGTAGGCTTCTCATGACCAAATACACTTCCTTATTTTGGTCTCCATGTGTTTCTTACTGTGTTAATCAGATGTTGGAGGACCTTAGTAAAATTGAGTGGGTCGGTACAGTATTGGACGAGGCAAAGATCATTGCCCGCTACGTTTATAGTCATGCGTGGATTTTAGACACGATGCGAAAATTCACGAGCGGGAAGGAACTGATCAGGCCAAGAATTACTAGATTTGTGACTAATTTTCTGTCCTTGAGGTCCATTGTGTTTCTTGAGGACGGTCTCAAACACATGTTTGCTCATTCGGAGTGGCAGTCCTCGATTTATAGCAGGCGCCCCGACGCACAGGCGATTCTTTCCTTTCTGTATTTGGATCGATTTTGGAAGGACGCTCGTGAAGCTGTCAACATTTCTGAGCCACTTATTAGAATTCTCAGGCTTGTTGATGGAGACATGCCTGCCATGGGCTATATATATGAAGGAATAGAGAGGGCGAAGGTCGAAGTCAAAGCGTATTACAATGGCATTGAGGATAAATATATGCCTATTTGGGACACGATCGACCGGAGATGGAACTTGCAGCTTCACACGACGTTACACACAGCAGCAGCATTCCTTAACCCATCGATCTTTTATAATCCGAACTTTAAGATTGATCTGAGAATTAGAAACGGATTTCAGGAAGCTATGTTGAAGATGGCGACGACGGATAAAGATAAAATGGAGATCACTAGAGAACATCCTGCATATGTAAATGCTCAAGGTGCTCTTGGTACCGACTTCGCTATCTTGGGGAGAACTATAAATACCCCAGGTATGAACCGTCTTATGCATGTGACTTATAAGTTTTATTGTTACATTCCAAGCACACCGTTATTAGATATTGTCTTTTTTGAGCTTTCCCTTCTGGGCTTCTCCTCAAGGTTTTAAAACGCGTTTAATAAGGAGAGATTTCCACGCCCTTGTAAAGAATGCTTCATTCCTCTCTCCAACCGATATGAGATCTCACAATCCATCCCCCTTCAGGGCCTAACGTTCTCATTGACACTCATTCCCCTCTCCAATCAATGTAGGATCTCACAATCCACACCCTTTCGAGGACCAGCGTCCTCGCTGGTACGCTGCTTAGTGTAATTGTGTGATCCCACATTGATTGGAGAGGGGAGCGAGTGCCAGCGAGGACATTAGGCCCCAGAGGGGGTGGATTGTGAGATCCTATATTGGTTGGATAGGGGAACGAAGCATTCTTTATAAGCGTATAGAAACTTCTCCCTAGTATACGCATTTTAAAACCTTGATGGGAAGCCTAGAAAGGGAAAGCCCAGTGAAGATAATATTTACCAACGGTGGGCTTGAGCTGTTACATATAACCCTCCAACTACATCAAGCCGGCTCAAAGGTTCCTAGCCTGTCATCTCCCAAACGATACCCTATACTGCAGTATTTTTGTTTACTTTTCAGATGCTTATTTCAATTTCCATGTTGCATCTAGGGGATTGGTGGTCAGGGTACGGTTACGAAATCCCGACGCTCCAGAGAGTAGCGATACGAATACTAAGCCAACCCTGTAGTTCTTATGGGTGCAGCAGATGGAACTGGAGCACGTTCGAAACCTTACATTCGAAGAAGCGTAGTAGAACCGAACAGGAAAAGTTGAACGATTTAGTGTTTGTACAGTGCAATCTCTGGTTGCAACACATTCGTTGGACTCGGGATGGTAAATATAAACCCGTCGTATTTGATGATATTGATGTGAGTTTAGAATGGCCGACCGAGCTAGAATCATCAGCTCGTGTTTTAGATGATTCGTGGTTGGATAATCTGCCTCTTGAATGTGGAGGCAGCCCTTAATATCTTTAAGGCAATCAGAAGAAACAGATACATCAATATTCCCTTGATTGCATATCATCTCCAAATAGTGCACTCAGGTGTTCATACAAATCAAAGAGAAGCTTCTCTGTAAATTAGAGGGCACAACTACTTTGATCACAATATATTATTATATATACATACATACATATATATACATATTTATGTCATGTTAATTTAAAAATAAAAACGTGTCCATTCAAGACACGAAACAAAAAATTTGACGGTACGGTAACGATTAACCATAGAGGAAAAAAACAAGATGAACGGTAAGATTGCACATCGGTTGGAGAGGGGAATGAAGCATTTTTTATAAGGGGAAGCTCGAAAGGCAAAGTTCAAAGAGGACAATATCTACTATTAGTGGGCTTGAGATGTTATATATGGTATTAGAGCCAAACATTGAACAATATAGGTGGACACGAGATGATGTGACAGCAAAGACGTTGGGCCTCGAAAGGGAGGTGGATTGGAGGACCTCACATTGATTCGAGAAGGGAACGAGTTGTCAGCGAGGACGCTGGACTCTGAAAGGAGGGAGGGGGGTGGACTTGAGATCACATATTGGTTGGAAAGAGAAATGAAACATTGTTTGTAAGAGGTGGAAACCTATCCCTAACAGATGCGTTTTAAAAGCCTTGAGGAAAAGCTCGAAAGGGAAAGACCAAAGAGCGTTTTAAAAGCCTTGAGGAAAAGCTCGAAAGGGAAAGACCAAAGAGTACAATATTAGGACGTTACATTAACCGAAACGACAATAATATTTTTGTGTTCGATCAATTTTTTTTTTTAATCGTGTGTCTTATTTACTTAAATACCATTCCCCATCCTTGAAATTTGGTTTTCATGATGGAAGCAATTTGGGTGGTTGGTTGTTTTGTTTGGCTCTTTATGTAATAATAATTTATACCCAACCAACATAACCCTAACTTAAATTAGGAACCAAGATAACCTCCACATTTTCATGCCCTTTGCCTTCTTTTCAAAGTCTCTTTAATTATTTCCATTTTTCACTCTCGAACGAGCGGAGATCGAACCTCCGACTTCCAAAAACTATTACACGACTTTCAAATACTTTTATCTATATTTTAAAATATTTCTCTAAACATTTAAAAAGTGTGAGATTCCATATCTGTTGAATAGGAAAACAAAACTTTCCTTAAAAAAGTGTGGAAACATCTCCATAATACATGTGTTTTAAAATCGTGAGGCTGATGACGATATGTAACGGGCCAAAACGAACAATATTTACTAGCAGTAAGCTTGAATATCGAGTTCACTCAAAATTACTTTTTAAGAATACTTTCCAAAAGAAATTAAAAGTATTTTAAAAACTCGTAACGTTTTATATTAAATGATATAATTATCTATAAAGGTGAGATCTCATGTGATTAGATTATAAGATAAGGAAGGGGTAGGGTTCATCCTTATCCTTATCCTTGGTCTCAAGTGAAATATGTTCAACATTACCTAATTAAGAAAATACGTTTTTTTTAAGTAATTTAATTATTAATTAGTTATTTGTAATTATTTTAATTATGAAAAAAAATTATGTCTTCAAGTTTTTAAATTTCGGGTATGATCGGAAACTAAAAAGACAAGTTTCGTTTAAATTATTGTCTTAAAAGAATCTTACTAAGACATTAAAAAAAATATTATTACATAATTATTTCTAATAAGTAAAGAAAATAAAGGAAGACGAACCGTTCAAATATATTCATCTAGTTCACCTCCACAATAGATTAAAAAAGAGGTCACATTTTGAACTAAAATTTGGAATCTATACTAAGTACCTAACGGTTTAGGTATTCTTTCCAGTCTTATGACATCCGCGTATGCAATATAATATTCTAAGCCACTTTTGAGACGGAACTTTGTCAACATATGAGCTTTAAACATATTATATCCTCACCCAAATACTTTATAGAAAAATGTGTTCTATAATTTCAATTAGATAGACTTAACTATAAAGTTATGGTAAATAGGTTACAAAAGAATTAAGAACTAATTCTTTAACGTAGATTTTCATATGCGGTTTATGACTTCTTTAATTTGATATTATTTCAATTAAAATATTTTACAATGAGTCATTTGGTCTAAATACTTTATTTTCCTTTTAATGAACTAGGCACTCTGCACCACCCAAACCCACTCTAAATAATGTTTCATTCTCCTCTTCAACTATTAGGGATCTCGCAACCTTCTAGTAGAACTTTGCAAGGGGTAAATAGGTTTTTTATTAATTTGAACTTTAACTTTATTCTACTAAATGTTGCAATTTTTCAAATGTTAAGGTTTTATTACACGAATCCTAGTTTAAGAGGGGTGATACTAAGGTTTAATACGATGGATTACTTGGTTAGAGATTGTGTAACATCCAAAACCAAACCCACCACTAGTAGATATTGTCCACTTCGACTAATTATGTATCGTTATCAGCCTCATGGTTTTAAAACGCGTTTGTTAGTAAGAGGTTTCCAACTATTTTAAAAAATGCTTTGTTCCCCTCTCTAACCAACGTGAGATCTCACAATCCACCCCTTTTAGGGCCTAGCATCCTTGCTGGCCTTCATTCTCTTCTCTAATCGATGTGGGATTTCATAATTCAACCCTATTGGGAGCACAACGTCTTTAACACACCATCCGGTGTCAAAGAAAAATCCAAAAAATGTAAGATAACTATCACTTATCAAGTCCAAGCCTAACATGACCGTATCTTAACATATAAGGAAGTTTAAGGGTAAAAGTTGAGCCATTTTGAAACCCAATGAAAACCAAGTTACCAAGTGGATGAAAGGTGGAAACAATGAGCAATGGATTTGGAATCTCTAAGAAAAATCCACGCCATTGAATTGAAACAGTCAAGCAAGCAAGCAAGCCTCCACAGTTTCTATCGTCACGATTCCAAGCCCCTTTCCTTCTCATTCACTCCCCCTTCACCCTTTTTTTTTTTTTTTTCTTATTTCCCTTCCCCTTTCCCTTTCCCCCACCAACACCAACACCAACACCCATAATCCAATCTTCCTCTTCCAGCAGAACAAAGCCAATCGTTAATGGCGATGGAAACCCACCCTTCAATCTGAATTCCCAGAAACCCCTTTCATTTTCTCATACTTTCTACACCACAATTTTCTAACCCCAACTCCTAATCTTGAGGCACTTTCATTTTGGCCAATGTCACAGCAGAAGACAGTTTCCCACATCGATAACTTACCATCAACGCCGGGGAAGTTCAAGCCGGATAAATCTCCGCCGTATATTCACCGGTTGAGGGTCCATTCCGCCATTTCCAGGCTCACTCTATGGTCCTCCTTGTTCTTGATTTTCATCATCTGTTTCTTCTTCTTCTCCCCTCCTTCATCCTCCGCATCGCCTCGCCGAGCCCTGGGCGGCGACTCCTGGGGTGGTCATAATTGGGAGAAAAAGGTCAGCCGCTCTGCTCAAACGCGCTCCGGCCTCACCGTCCTCGTCACCGGCGCTGCGGGTTTTGTCGGAACCCATGTCTCAATCGCCCTGAAACGACGAGGCGATGGGATTCTTGGACTCGATAACTTCAATGACTACTACGATCCACAGCTCAAAAGAGCTCGGCGGAAGCTTCTCGATCGCGCTGGTGTGTTCGTCGTAGAAGGAGACATTAACGATTCTGAACTGCTTCGTAAGCTCTTCGATGTTGTGGCTTTCACCCATGTTATGCACCTTGCGGCTCAGGCTGGAGTCAGGTACGCAATGCAGAACCCGGGTTCTTATGTGCACAGCAATATTGCTGGGTTTGTGAGCCTTTTGGAAGCCTGTAAGTCGGCAACTCCACAGCCCGCCATTGTTTGGGCATCTTCAAGCTCAGTCTATGGATTGAATTCCAAGATACCCTTTTCAGAGAAGGATCGAACTGATCAACCAGCAAGTCTTTATGCTGCAACAAAGAAAGCTGGAGAGGAGATAGCTCATACTTACAATCATATTTACGGGCTTTCAATCACTGGTTTGAGATTCTTTACTGTATATGGACCTTGGGGTCGCCCTGACATGGCGTATTTCTTCTTCACTAAGGATATTCTCAAGCGGAGGGCGATAACAATCTATGAAGCTCCTGATCATGGTACAATTGCTAGAGATTTTACCTACATTGATGACATCGTAAAGGGGTGTTTGGGGGCTCTGGATACCGCTAAGAAGAGTACAGGGAGTGGTGGGAAGAAGAAGAGGGCTGCACAGCTGAGGATTTTCAATCTGGGAAACACATCACCAGTACCAGTGAGTGAGCTTGTTAGCATACTGGAGAAGCTGTTGAAAGTAAAGGCAAAGAAGAAAGTTCTGCCAATGCCCAGAAATGGAGATGTTAAGTTCACTCATGCCAACATAAGTTTGGCTCATAAGGAGTTTGGTTACAGGCCAACTACCAATCTCGATACAGGACTGAAGAAGTTTGTGAGTTGGTACCAAGATTACTATTCTGGTTCCAAGAAGAGAGTTGCCAGGGCTTTCTCCAACATTTAGATTCTTCACAATTAATGTTGTTTTGTGTCCACTGATCATCAATCTTTGATAATTTGCTGCATTTTTCAGTCATATTGTGCTTACAAAGAAGCAGCACCTCCTGCATTAGCTTTGCTTTTTGCTCTTCATTGCCATTTTCTGTCAGCAAAAGACTAGAAGCCCACTTTTCATAGCTATATCCCACATGTTACTTCATTAGTTCTGTTCGTTTTTCTGTATTTCCCCTATGGACTGCATTCTGTTGAGGCTTTACATTTCATGACTGAGAGAAATGAAACATGCTGGTTGGTTGGTGGACTTCACTTATCATCTTGAATAAGATAGCAATTTACGAAATGGCTTCCCATTCTTTGAATATTGAACTGACCTCTTGCTAATGTTTACGACAATATATACACATATTAAAGCTCTAGCAAGATTCTGGATAGCCATTCAGTTCTATACTCAAGTTGTCTGTAGGAGGGTGTATTTGTTTCTGCATAACCCTGCTTCTAAACTCATTAACAATCTTGAAAATTTCAGTAAACAAATTCAGTCATTGCATTGCATTAGCATATGATTCGCTCTGTGCTTCAAATAAACGTGCATGTTCCAAACAAGATTTTGGAATGCTCTCTACCAGTCTCTTATTTTGATTGAAGAATCCTTTATCTGTATGGTCTAAGATTTCAATTTCTTTTTTCAAACCAGCAGATTCGTGTTGGTTTGTTGTTTTCTGGCTAAACTTTATGAACAAAGCATACCATTAGCTTCCAATTTCTCTAACCAAAAATGGGTTTGGATGATATCTAATAATGGTTGTCAAAGCAATCCAAGTGTTCTAGGTTCTTGGAATCTTCAAAATTACTTTTGAATATCAAACAAAACTCTAATTTTTTTAAAAAAACACTCTTATCATGAGATCCTTATGAGATATCATGAGATCCTTATGAGATCTCACATCGGGTAGGAAGGAGAACAAAGTATTCTTTATAAGCATGTGGAAACCTTTCCCCTAGTAGAGAAGATTAGAACAAAGTATTCTTTATAAGGATGTGGAGACCTTTCCCTAGTAGAGAAGTTTTAAAAATCTTGAGAGAAAGCCTGAGAAAGAAAGCTCTTCAAAGAGAATAATATCTGCTAGCGGTGGGTTCAGGCTGTTACAAAGCCAGACACTGGACGATGTACTAGCGAGGAGGTTGAACCCCAAAAGGGGTGGATACAAGAGGGTGTGTCAACAAGGACGTTGGGGCTCGAAGGAGGTAGACAGGGGGTCCCACATTGATTGGAGAAAGGAACGAGTGCCAACGAGGACACTAGACCTCGAAAGGGGGTGGATTGTGAGATCCCACATCGGTTAAGGAGGAGAACGAACCATTTTTTATAAGGATGTATAAACTTTTCCATAGCAGATGTGTTTTAAAAATCTTAAAGAGAAGCCTGGAAGAGAAATCCTAAAGAGTACCCGGCTGTGGGCTGGGATGGTTATACTTCTAAATTCCTATCTCAAACTCACTCAAAATTTAGGGCAATGTGCAACATTAAGTTCTAGGTAGTGTTCAAGTAAAGATGAAGCAACAATACATGCTAGTGTCAAGTCATTTACATGATCGTGACGACACAGCTTCAGTTTCAGCATCAGAGTTGAGATCCCACCAAGCACCACTGTCACCATTTGTCATATTCTCATCAACTGAACCTTGTTCAACATCTTCATCCTCGCCCATATCATCATCCAAACCAAACACTTCCTTCTCCAATTGAGGATTGTATGTCCATTCCAATCTCTTCAAAACGTCCCGATCCTTCCATTTTCCCACAACAGACACAGCCTCCTTCTTAGCCTTCCCCATTAAAATCTCCTTCCAAGAAAACCCAGTATCAGCATTTCTCTTCAATGGCCCATCATTAAGATCCCCAACAACAACTGTTCTAAGACATCTCAACTTGGCCTCCTTCAAAACATTCACAAAATCAGAATCATCTGATACAAGAACCAAACACTCTGCTCTTCTCCTATCCATGACCTCAACCATGTCGTTTCTCAATTCTACATCCGCAGCTTCAGGCTTATCCGACACAGTCTTCACAAAAAACCCTGCCCTCTTCAACTCATCTGCTAGACCATATCCCTCTTTCGGAGTCAAAACATCCCTAGCAGCATTCTTATACTTCTGTATTTTCATCGAATACTTAGCGAGCAACTTCACTCTTCTACTCCCCTTGGCAGATTCGATCTGATTCAACCTCTTCTTATGCTCACTCTCATGAATTTGCTTAAAATGATTCACTAACTTCTCATTCGTATAGAAATTTCTCCCACAAACACGACACAGATACGGCTCAATCGATTTAATCACACCTTTCCTCTCCAATTGATTAAGCATCTTCCTCTCTCTCCTCTTCTCTCTAACAACTTGCGGCACATAGCTGAACGCATGCCGATTCGCATAAGCCACCATGTACCGAACGGCGCCAAAGGAAGCCGCTGCAGCCTTGAGCTTAACCGCAGCTTCGTAAGGCGGTAACGATTTCGGTGGTTTATTGTCCAAATCCCAGAAAATCGCAACGGCAGAGCAGGAAGAATCCGGAGAATTTGATTTCAGATTCGTTCCGGAATGAAAACGTCTAATTAATTCAGTTTCCTTACGGAATTGGTACGATAAATTCCGAAATCTAATGAACGCTATCATGGCGAGAAACTCTTTACACATGTACTGAGGATGAGATAAAAATGGACGAACGGAGGATAAATGTTAAAGAAGAGATGGAACTAACCTAAAGTACACAAGAGTGAGTAGCAGGAGAATTGCCTGGTCGGCGCTTGACGGCGGGAATCTCGGAAGGTGAGGCGGGGGAGGGCCTTGTATGACGGAAGCAATTCAGAAGAAGTCCAATTAAAGAAAAAATGCAATATATATATATATATATATATATATATAAAATTAATTAATTAATTTAAACCGTAATCTTCCAATTTTATCAGATTATACCTCAAATTTAAATTAGAATTAAAATCTTAACCCTAAATTATATTATATTTAGCAATTTTGAATTTTTTTTTAATTAACATTAAGAAAGTTATACAACAATAAATGTTAAGATTTGAGTTCAAATTTATGATTAGGTTTAATTTTTTTTTTTTTTTGTTATTATTATATTAGTCAATATCAAATAAACTTATTAACACAACCATCGTATAAAATATAACATTATACAATAACAATTTTCTAAAGAATGTTAATTCGAGTATAACTTGGAATGTGAAAAAACTATTGACGTCTTAAAATTTGATGTTTTTAATTTTTACCCAACAGTAGTGGAACGAACTCAATAAGAAAAAATGTTTAGTAACAATCGAAGTCCACTACTAGCCATCAGCCTCACGATTTGGGTCATGACGTATCATCGTCAACCTTATAGTTTTAAAATACATCACCTAAAAAAAAAAATTCACACCTATGAAATAATACAATCCAACAAAATACGCTTTTAGTTTTAAATTAATGTCTAAGTTTAGTCCCAAAAGTTCGAAAACAAACACCTCTGTCAAGTTTAGGGAAATTATGGTCTCTTAAGTTTTTGTTTCCATCTTTGAAGTAAAATGGTTCGCATTAATGGCAAGAATCAAACAAAATAGTATTTATTTATACAAGATTATGATGTCATTTTTTAACATTTCTCAATTATATAGGGCACACTATTTTTAAACATTTTATTTCAGACGTCATAAACAAAACCTTAAACAATCGGCTCAATTGGGGCGTGGATTAAATTCCCACTCTAATCCAGAATAATCGATCTCCAAAAGGTCCTTATAAGTAGTGTACTTTTTCACTTAAAAGCACTTTTCTAAACACCTAGAAAATCAATCCAAACAGGGACTTATGGCCTTCTCATGCTCACCCCGCCCCCTCTGGAGAAGACTCTGGAGACTCGAAAGTCTCAACACACCTCAGGAACAATCTTATTAAGAACAGAACAGAACAGAACCTCCTCTGTGACAACCTCAAAGCACACTCCTAACCATGAGGTAAACCAAGGAGCACTCTGCTTAGAACTGTACCTCCCACACGAGCTAACACTCATAATCCAACCAATCACAAATAAAAACCGACCCGACGTCCAAGAAATTGAGAACAGGTTAATCTGGTATATCATGGATTGGGTTAGTAATGAATCATCTTTATTAATCATAGGATCAGAACTTTTAAGACATAGACACCATAAACAATCCCAATAAGCTTTAAATTTTCAGTAGGCCAAGTAGCATACTTATACAGGGGAACCCATGGCGCAAAATGCTTCAGAGCCCACATTCCCACTCTTGAATTCAGAAGAATATCGATTATAATTATCATAAGAAAAACTACAAAATCACTATGAGAGATCCTTATGTTTCTGTGATTCCTTGGAACAATTACCACATAATGGGAAATACCTTACATCGAATAGAGTGAATGAAAGGATCTTAGTCGCCCATAAGTGAAGCAGTGGACAAAATCAGGCAACAAGTGTGCTAGCAGTGGTTGACTCGCTGAAACAATAAGAAAAAAAAAGACAATCAATCAATCAACCAATCACCAGGGAGGAAAGATGATAGTCGTAGGTAGCTGAGTATATATGAACTAAACTTCAAATAACCCATGCAGAGAGAAGTTTTATTTTCTTCCACATTCAACTCGTGTAATTGGAAGTTGATAATGTTAGAAACCACGACCTCCACAGTCATATGATATTTGTCCACTTTAAACATATGCTCTCGTGAATTTTCTTTTGGTTTCTCCAAAAGATCTTGTACCAATGGAGACGTATTCCTTACTTATAAACCCCATGATCAACACTTTAATTAGCCGATGTGGGACACATCTCCCAACAACCCTCAACAATCCTCCCCTCAAACAAAGTACACCATAGAGCCTCCCTTGAGGCCTATGGAGCCCTCGAACAACCTCCCCTTAATCGAGGCTCAACTCCTTCTCTAGAGCCCTCAAAAAAAATACACCTTTCGTTCAACACTTGAGTCACTTTTGACTACACCTTCGAGGCTCACAACTTCTTTGTTCGACATTTGAAGATTCTATTGACATGGCTAGGTTAAGGGTATGGCTTTGATACCATGTTAGAAACCACGACCTCCAAAATGGTATGGTATTATCCACTTTGAACATAAACTCTCATGGCTTTGCTTTTCGCTTCCCTAAAAGGCCTCATACTAATAGAGATGTATTCTTTACTTATAAACTCATAATCAACCCCTTAATTAGTCTATGTGGGACTCATCCACCAACCATCCTCAACAGATCGTTGATCTAAGCAATTGCAATACAATACTTTGCATGAAGAGAGGAAATTTAAATCCACCTAATAATGAGTAACAACAGAGCTTAACACAATAATCATCCTTTTTAAGTTATAATACAGATAACAAAATAGACTACAGTGAATCAGATCAGTGACCACTTACTATTTCCAGACAGGTGGGAGCTTCTTGGTCTTCTTGTAATAGCGAGCTAGCCGATGAATCCTACTCTCCACAAGAATCAACCTGAACTTCGAGTCCTTATCCTTCCTGTTCCTTTCCAAATGCTTTCTAATCGAGACGGCCTTCTTAATCAAATGGTACAGATCCTCAGGAATCTCCGGAGCAAGCCCTTTTGAAAGTAATAGGGAACAAAAGTTCATATAACATAAAATTTTTGAATTGAGAGAAAAGTGGAACAAATACCATGAGCTTTAAGAATTCGCAAGATCTTGTTTCCAGTAACGCTCTTGACCTGAGCAATACCATGAGAATCACGAAGAATTACACCGATCTGAGACGGCGTCAAACCCTTCTTCGCGAATTTGCAGATGTTTTCTTCAACCTAATGAACACAGACAATACACATTCTAGAACTGCCCGTTCCGATCAAAGTAAATCGCAGCTCAAACATTAAAGGTAAAGGGACTTACATCTTGAGTAGAAATCTTGAGCCAACTCGGTGGAGTCCTCTTGTACGGCAATGCTGAAGCTGAAATACCTTTTCTGCAATCGAAAATCAGATGAGGGATTGAGTTACTGAATCAGAGGGATGAGAAGATGAGAAAGAGAGAAGAAGATGAACTCACCCTCTGCTGTGCATACGACCCATTGTAGAAGACGACTATGGAGGAGCTTCGCAATCTCTCTGCTTCAGAAACTGGCAATGGCCTCAACTGCCAATCGATAAACCCTAGTTTTTATGTTATACTTTCAAATTTTATATTTTATCTAAAAAATAACTTTAAAATTTTAAAATCTTTAGTAATTTCTTTAAAAAAATACATATAAAAAAATCATTAATATATTAATATATGGTATGTATAAGGTGAGGATCGAAGAGATTTGAACATTTGACCTCTTAAACAAATAATATGTGTCTTTGATCGAGTTAAGTGAACAAAAACCTCATTATTTGGAACATCAACATTTTTCAAATTGAAATGCACGGCTACTACATGAGATATTGAATGTAACTTGAAGTGTAACAGCACTCAGTTTGAAAAAAAAAAATCAAATATCGTCGAAAAATCGCGAGATTTTTGGCAAGGCGTTAGGGATCTCGTAATGGAAACCGTCCATGCTCCCTCTTCATAAGCCCTCGTTGTTCACTCCCTCAACCACCCAACCTATCATTTGCTCCCGCTCAGCAACACATACATGTTGAGGAAGAGAGAACCCCACAGACTCGAGAACGTGCAGAATGCATTCACAAAACTCATCGTTGCATCCCCATTATTGAGTCAGTTATTGTGCAGTGAGTAGAAGCGTTAGACATCAGGTGGTAAGAGCAATTGTGGTTGCCCTTTCTTTTGTTCTTAAGTAGTCGGGTTAAGGAAAAAAAAAATTGGGGAAGAGGAATGAGAACATCGCACGGTTTTTTGTGTTTATACAGGTACGACAATCGTCACAAGTGGTGGAGGAAGGTAATCGAACCCATACGACATCTAGATTCATGTGGTTGTTGTTAAAAAACGAATCTATAAAAGAGATAAGACAGAGGAAAAAAGAGGTTTAGAATCGAGTGAAGAAGAAGATCCACGAGGAAGTTGAATCAAATCCAGAAACTCATAACCCACGTAGATCCACTACTACATCCCAATCTACCACTTCGGAAGGTTTTAGCCAACCCATGACGCTCGAGAGGAACCCAAGCCCAAAGAACATGGGTTAAACTAAGCCTAAAATCTCTCAACGTGATAACCGAACTTAATTTTAGGTAATGTTGTAAAAAACGAACTCAACTCAAATCGAACAAATTTATAACCTAACTCAATTTTTATAGTCTAGGTTAAGTTATTGGGATTATCTAAGTTACCTTATCGAACCATTTAACACGAAGTTCCTCTTTGGATATATATTCTCCAATAATTTAAATAATTAAATAAAAGTGACCTTTCATAATTGCAATTCCGTATGAAATTTATTATTATTATTTTTTTATTATTTGGGTTTAATTTCCATTTTGCCGTTCCTTTAACAAAATCAAAAGATTAAAAAAAAAAAAAAAAAAAAAAAAAAAAAAAAAAAAAAAAAAAAAAAAAAAAAAAAAAAAAAAAAAAAAAAAAAAAAAAAAAAAAAAAAAAAAAAAACGTTACCTTCCCACTCTCAGGCGAGCGTCAAAGGGAGAGGAAGAAAGGAAATCAGAGCTCTGTGAAGATTCAAACCTAAATCGAAACCAGAGATGGGCAAAGATCTGAGCGATGAGCAGAAATCCTCCATGAAAGAGGCCTTTACCCTCTTCGATTCCGACGGCGATGGACGGATCGCTCCATCGGAGCTCGGGATTCTAATGCGTTCCCTCGGCGGCAACCCCACTCAAGCCCAACTCAAAGCCATTATAGCTGAGGAGAACCTCACTGCTTCTTTTGATTTCAATCGCTTTCTTGAGATCATGTCCAAGCACATGAAGCATGAGCCCTTCGATCGCCAGCTTCGAGACGCTTTTAAGGTTCTCGATAAAGAGAACACCGGTTACGTCCTGGTCTCGGAGCTCCGACACATTTTGACGAGTATTGGTGAGAAGCTTGAGCCGTCGGAGTTTGATGAGTGGATTCGAGAAGTTGAGGTTGGACCGGATGGTAAAATTCGGTATGAGGATTTCATTGCTCGAATGGTGGCCAAATGAGGAGGGAAGTAATGCAAATTTGGTTGTGTGTGCTTTACTGGAATGATTTCTGAAGTAATTTGTGGCGATCTTTGTTGTTTTTTATTCTTCTTTTATTTTTCTTTCCAATTTCTGTTAATTGGTTTCAGATTACAAGACTTGCTTGGATTTTAGTGGGATGGATGCAGGTGATGTTCGCATACTTTCCCAAGTAATGCTAATATTATTTTGAAAAATTTAGGATTATGATGGGATATGTTTGGATTGATTCGAGGTGTATTGAAAACTGTGGTTTTCTGGGTAACGTAGAATCTGGTGATTTGTATGTGTTTCTTAGCCTGAATTTCAAAATTTTATTAGCTTCTCCCACGATTTATAGTCTTGCAATGGTTGATGCTTCTGCATGGTCTTTAAGTTAGAGAGACTCAGATGGTGTCTTCATGTTCATCATGGCTTGTTGTTTAGTTTGTAAGATTTGAAAGATTAATTAAGCTTCTCTTGTTTCATTTGGTTTAGCATTTTCTTTCAATATTAGCCTCATGAGATAAGAGACCTGATATATTTTAGGCATCTTAGTATTAATTATATTGCATGTGTTTAAGATGTTTGAAGGATTCATTGCTACAATGCAAGAGTTTCTAATGCATTGAATTGAGTCAAAAGATTGGCATCAAAAGGTTGGTTCTAGACTCCGTTTTAGTGGCCACAAAGTAGATCCTCTCAATTTGTTGTAGACGGGAACTGTTGGGCTGGATGCACAGATGCTTTTAAAGCTTACACAATTCTATATTTGAGATACTATACCTTCTGTCAGGTTCTGTGAAGATAACAAAAAGTTTTTAGTTTTAAGGTTGTGGAGCTAAATCCGTTCCAAACCTAGTGTGTTCTCTTTTACCATATAGCGTTTTAGCATTCTTTATCTTATGAGTTCTGCAGAAACTGTGAGATCCTACATCGGTTGGAGAGGCAAACGAGTGTTAGCAAGAATGCTGGGCTTCGAAGGGGGGTGGATTGTGAAATCCCACATCAGTTGGAAAGGAGAACGAAACATTCTTTATAAGGGTGTGGGAACCTCTCCCTAGCATACGCATTTTAAAACCGTGAGGCTGAGGGCGATACATAGCAGGCCAAAATGGACAATATCTGCTAGCGGTAGGCTTGGGCTATTACAGAAACATTCTAGTTATTAAATTTGATTTGCCACATCGACCATGGCTTGGCTCTCTGTTGGAATTCTGTGCATTCCTTGTGTTTCTAATGAACAAGAGTTTGAAGGTTCGCACTGAATGAATAGAAAAGTAAATAGTCTTTGCCTTAAAAACTTTTGGTAACCCTTGTGCAAAATTAGTCCTGAACTTAGAACTAGTAGGGTTAAGATCTTTCCAAACATAGGGGGATGTGTGCATAAATTGAAGGCATCGTTATTTATTATGCAAAACGTGAAGAAGATCTAGTAAAACATTACCTGCATCCTATGGATGTCAAGAAACAATGCTGGGCTGTTGGATCATGTGAATGACTCTTAAGTTGATGAATATACTCCAGTCAGGTGTAAAGCTTCAGCTTTGAGGTGTTAGACGATCTGGAGATCCCGAGTTCTAAATTTCATGATCACTTATTTACAATTGATCAAAATTTGAATATAGTGGGCGGATTCTTGATTAATCGAGGACTTCCCGTGTAAGTTCTGGACTTAGCATCTTAGCAGCAATCCCATACTTCATGACAACCTGACCAGGAGTATTTGAATAGGAAATCACCCCCACCATACACACACAAAGAGATTTAAACTACTTTTGGTGGTTTCCTGACCTTGGAAGGCATTGATGTTGAATTCAAAGTAAGAGTCCGCTTATTTTTTCTCTTCCCATCATTGTGTTAACCAACATCTCTTCCACTGACTCTTTTTGCTTAAGCTGGATATATCTCAAGATTTCTGGCCTCTCATGGTGTAATCCGGGGCTAGCTCTGATCTTATACGATATAGCTTGTAAGTTAAGGGTTTTATAGTGTAATGTTAGCAAAGCTCTTCCCTCCATATGGGTGGTGTTCAACTTTTCTAATCAATATCAATTGGAAGGTACTTTTGTAGTCTTCCTTTGGGTCTGGGAAATTTCTTTTCCCCAGTTATTTAACATATATCATAACTTTGGTTGGTCATGGAAGATGTAGAAATGGCATGTGATTGAGTTTATTTTCACTTCATGTGTAATTCTTTACTTATGTACTTGAGAATTCAGAAGTGCTGAAGGACTGTATCTGCTAGATATCTTCAGTCCTAATCTTGTTTGCTGCTTATTTCTTTGACCACTTTAGTTGGTTACCTTATGTGTAGACCATTTTTGACATGCATCTTCTCTATAAACCATCGACCAGAATTACATTTTCTACCCCCTGAATGTTTGCTCATTATGTTTCTCTTTCTTTTACAACGTTTGAAGCCTATTGCTATCCGATATTGTCCTCTTTGAGTTTTTTCTTTCGTGCTTCTCCTCAAGGTTTTTAAAATGCGCATGTTAGGAAGAAGTTTCCACACTCTTATTAAGAATGCTTCGTTTCTCTCCCTAACTGATGTGGAATCTCACAATTCACCCTTCTTCGGGGTCCAACAACCTTGTTGGAACTCGTTCCCTTCTCCAATCGACATGGGATTTAACAATCTACCTCCTTTAGTGCCAATGTCCTCACTGGCTCTCATTCCTCTCTTAGATTGATCTGGGATCTCCTAATCCACCCCCCTCGAGGCCTAGCATCCTCACTAGCACACCACCCGGTGTTTGGCTCTGATACCATTTATAATAGCTCAAGTCCACCGCTAGTAGATATTGTCCTCTTTGAGTTTTTCCTTTTCAGCTTTCTCTCAAGGTTTTTAAAATGTGTCTGCTAGGGAGAGATTTCCACTCTTATAAATAATGTTTCATTTCTCTCTCTAACCGACGTGGGATTTCAGAGTGAAATACATGTCTAACCTCTCGTACTATGTTCAGGTAAGTTGATAGTTCAAATATATAAGAGATTCTGCAGATTCATAAGTTGTAAATAACTTCAAGAAGTCCAAATGTGGACTTGTAATTTGCTATAACTTGAACTCGCTCGAGCAGTTTTCCATTGCACCGTTATTTTGAATTCCCTATGTCTTGTTTCTCATTTGATTACCTTGAATTGTACTGTAATTAAAGCCTGCATCATCTGCCCCAAGCTGTTCTTACCTCAAAACTAATGTGGGTCATCAGCCAAACATCTAAGGCTGTCTTTCTTCCATATATCAAGCCATATTTGATACTTCGGGTGGTTCATTGTCAGCTTAGCTGGTCTATAACTATCAAAAGACTGTTTGACGGTGTTTGTGTGGGTGGCTATCCTCTATTTTTCTTTCACATTTTCCAGAACTGTTTTATTTTTGTTTTTCTTGAATACTCAAAACTCTCAGGGAGAAAAGAAAAAAACGAGCCCATTGAAAAATAGGGTTCCAATGTTGCAGATACTGTCTGCTTTGGTTTGTTACGTATTGTTATCAGCTTCACGGTTTTAAAATGCGTCTGTTAAGTAGAGGTTTACACACCCTTATAAAGAATGTTTCGTTTCTCCTCTTCAACCAATAAGACCTAAAATGCTCTAAAGATCAAAAGCGTTCTTTGAAGAGTTGAAGACTTTGAAAGTAAGTTGAAGTCACTTATTACTCTTTAAGATTTCAATTAAGTGTCGATCCAAGTAGATCATGATAAAACAAGATCAACAAACCAAAGGTATGTCATACAAGAAGATCAAAAATAAAATAATTATAAAGACATAAATATCATCCCGTTAAAAGGTACAACTAAATGAACCTCCAAAAGTAATGGTATTTCCATTTTCCTATAATATTTTTTTTTTCTTCTCATAATTAATTTAAAATCCGGTTTCCAAAAGTAATGAACCTCCATTGTTAGCAATATCATCTGCTTTAGCCTATTACGTATAGTCATCAGTCTTACGGTTTTAATACGTGTTTGCTAGGGAGATGTTTCCATGCATTTATAAAAAAATGTTTCGTTCCCTCCTCCAACTACTAAGGTGGGATCTCAAATTGGTCGGAGAAATGAACAAAACATTTCTTATAAGTGTGTAGAAATCCATCCCTAGTAGAAGCATTGTACGATATGTAACGAGTCAAAGCGAATAATAGCTACTCGAGGTAGGCTTTCGGCTGTTATACTAATACCTAACGATAACGACTATTCTTCAACTCTCGACCGGCTAAGTTCATTCCAATTTTCCATCCGAATTTATCTATTATATTTTTAAAATGTTTTTACAAATTATTACATTTTTTTTTATCATAATTCACTCATTTTTCTCCCAAATAATTTTGAAATCATACTCCCATTATCTCAGTGTAATTTGAAAAAGGAAATAAAAAAGGAAAATATTATTAATAAAGTGGTAATGAAAATGATGGGTACAAAATTTTCTTTGCTTATCATCATTTTTTAACCTTTTAAGAATATCGTATGATCCTCGTGTGACGACTTAGTGATATCATTACCAATAAAACGGATAAACACATGTCCAATCTAAAGCACTTCATATATTAGCCACATAAATTCCGTTCATATCGATGTATTCCACTACCCGAAACGAAATGTTCTAGCTTTTAGGTAATTATAGGTCAAATGCAATCCAAAAGTGGTGGCACTATAAAGCTGAGACCATGGGACCATCATTTTGCTCGGGTAAAACCCTACTCGACTCGATAGTAATCTAGTAGTTGTGAAGTCTTCCAATCAATTAGGTTGTAGGAGTTCAAACCCTAATAATTATTATCAATTTATAATATTATACATAAAATTTATCGTTTTACTTCAAAAAAAATGTTGAATCAAACTATTTTCACTCATCTAACACAATGATACCCTAAGCGACCTTGTTACTAAAATAACTTTCGGTATACATGTTACAATTTTGACTACCCAATAACAAATTTGGTCCCGAGGTTAGAAATAACCCGTTACACTGAAGGGAAAGGGTTAAGAAATTACTCGGTATGAGATATCACATTGTTTGAAGAACTCTAAATGTTGTCGGAGTAAAGGGTTGTGAGATCTCACCACGATGGACCAAAGCCGATAATATCTACTAATAGTGGCCAGCCAGATTCTGGGTATTGTGCGAACGAGGACGTTGGGCTCTTAAGGAGGTGGATTGTGAGATCTCACATCAATGGGAGAGAGGAACTAAACATTCATTAAAAGGACGTGGAAACCTCTCCCTAATAGATGCGTTTTAAAATCGTGCAGCTGACGACTATATGTAACGGGTCAAAGCAGACAATATCTACTAGCAGTGGCTTCGA